TATATTTTATTTGATGTAAGTATAGCTGTCACTGCAATTTTAGATTACAATTTGTGTACAGAATTATTTTCTAGCCTTTTTCTTTGAGTATGTGTTTGTATTTGGATTTCAAGTTCATGTCCTGTGGGACCTATGGTTATATAATTTTTATTATAAAATATTACCTAGGGTCAGTGAGATAGAACAGCATGAAGGTGCTTTCCTTGCATGTGGCTAACTTCAGTTTGAGCTCTGGTGCTATATATGGTCCTCTGAGCACTTCCTGGAGTAATCCATTAGACGCATACCTAGGAGTTAAGTCCTGAGCATCACTGGGTGTGCTCGCCCTCAAAAAAAGTTATCTACTCACATTCATAATGGAAAATATTATGTTATGAACCAAAACCTAGTTATAGTGTCTTTACCTTCTGAAGTTTTTGTTTCCTTTGGGAGAGTCACACCTGTACCGCTCAGTGTCTATGCCTGGCTCTTGTGGCTCAGGACCATCTTGTGCTCAGGGAACCATACACAGTGCTGGGATTCTTTTTTTATTATTTTATTTTATTTTTATTAAATCACCGTGAGATAGTTGCAAGCTTTCATGTTTGGATTACAATCACACAATGAGCAAACACCCATCCCTCCACCAGTGCACATTCCCCACTACCAATATCCCCAATATACCCTCCCTTTCCTACCCTCCCCCTGCCTTCATGGCAGACATTATTCCCCATAATCTCTTTCTACTTTTGGGCATTACGGTTTGCAATACTAACCATTGTTGCAGCCACAAGCAAGGCAAGTGCCTTATACTTTAAATTTTTTGTAATGTGAAGTTCATCAAAGGCATAGATCTGTTTTTTTTTTCTCTTGGTATATAGTGGAAATCTCAGAAATCACTGATTTTAATATGAATCTTGAATTCTTGTGTCAAAAGTTATGGAATTATTGTTATATCTCATAAATGTTACTGCTTTAGATTTTGATAACAAAATCAGAAAACAATTTGAAGTCACTTTTACAGAAATGACAATAACATGGCAAGAACTGTCCTTCCATTGTTCATCGATTTGCTCAAGTGGGTACCAGTAACAAGTCACAACAAATTGTGAGACTTGTTACTGCTTTTGACATATCAAATATGTCATGGGTAGCTTGCCAGGCTTTTCTGTGCAGATTAGATACTCTCGGTAGCTTGCCGGGCTCCCTGAGAGGAAAGGAGGAATTGAACCTGGGTCAGCCGCATGCAAAGCAAACGCCCTACCCACTGTGTTATTGCTCCAGCCCAACATGGCAAGCAAGCAGGTAAATAGCTTATCAAATATGCATTTGCTAATTCATGGGAATTATCACTATAGGAAAAATAGTAAGCCAAATAAATCAAGAATTTACTTTTGAAGACTATTCTAAGCTCAATCAAAATTCAAAACCAATTCTATTTTATTTTTCTTTGTTTTGGGCTACACTTTGGTGTTGAGGGGCAGCTCCTGGCTTGGTGGTTGGGAGTCACTGCAGTGTGCTCCAGAGTCACTTCAGAGTGCTCAGGAAAGTATAGGATGCAAGGGATCCAATCCAAGGGTCCTGCATACAAAACCTGTGCTCAGCCCTTTGAGCACTCCCAGATTATGCTATTTCAACAATATTTCTTGTTGAAACTAATGGCTTTCAAAAATTTCTATGCTTAGAATAAGTGCTGTGTGATAATTTTTTGAAAATCTTGATGTTCACATTGTAACTATGACTCTAATCTTGGCAGTGAGTACAACATGGGTCTCACTCTTTTTTCTAAATTCCCCACGTCCTTACAATGTGATAAATGCAACAAATTCCATAGAAGATATTAGTGAATTTCATGTACATTGACCTAACCCTTCTTTCCATTATAAAGAAAGAATTTTCTTCTTGGCTGCTTGAAATTTGGCTCCCCTTGTCAGAGCATCTTTCCATGGAAAAAGGATGTTCTTTTTGGCAGAACTTGAGCACAGTAAGAACCACAAAGGACTTTGTTTATCTTTTCCCTGAGTTCAGAGTAATCATTACATACAAACATATTTGTTTATCAGAATAATAAATGAGTGGTTCTGCAGTTTTGTTTTAGATTCACATGCAAGATTCTCAGCATCTTCAAAGAAGGACGCTTTCAAAGACTAAAATTTCAAACTTACTTGCTTTTTAGTTTTCCAGATATATATGAGTTTTGGCAGTCTTTCCACATATATATGAGTCACTGACTAAAATCAAAGCGAGGAACAATTTAAAAAGAATACAAAACAAGAAAAAAAGACACAGGATGATGAGCTGGTGATTGGACTTTTAGAAAGAAAAATACAGGAATAGCGTAGTCTTTAAATTCTGTCACCATCTAAGAATTTTACATTTGTTCATTAAGCCATTAGGTCAGTTGTTATGAATAGAGAAGCTGAGTTTTATCTCAACCTTGGAATCTCTACCATCTATACACAGAACTCAGGTTGCAGTCAAATCCTACCTAAATGAAAATCATCTTTTAATAAGTTGATGCATGTGACACTGAGATCCCCAATGGACAATGATAAGCTGAGAAGGAAAATTGGTTGATATCAAGAAAGACATGGAATCACCCTCTGGGCAGACTCAAGTTGTTTAGATGATGAGTGGTTATGAAAGTAACAAAACTTTATTGGCCTGAAGGAAGTATAGGGAAAACACATAAGCTTTGTTTTCTTTTCTGTGGAAGAAAATGTGCACAGTAAATTTTCTCTCTATGATTGTGTGTCCAGCCTCCTGTCATTTTATGAAATATATCACCTACTGACAATCAAAGACCATGTAGCCATCTTAAGCTGTGCCTCTCACAAAATCCTTTATAACTGAAGATACAAGAAATTGAGGCAAGAAAGGGGGAACTGTATCGGGGATATTGGTGGCGGGGAATGTGCACTGGTGGAGGGATGGGTGTTTGATCATTGTGTGATTGTAATCCAAACATGAAAGCTTGTAACTATCTCACGGTAATTCAATAAAATTTAAAAAAAAAAAGAAATTGAGGCAAGAAAGAATATAACCTTTTCTAACACTATTGGTGTTAGATTCATGATAGCTTATTTTTTTCTACCTAATATTTCCAAATTAACTATTGCCGACAGCTATCAAAAGAGTTCATTCTACATAAGAATTATATTAGTATTAAGCACGGTCATTTGATAGAGAAAAAAGGTATTGAATCTAAATAGACTCACTTGTTTATTTAAGCACTATCAATATCCAAAGGGCACAGCAGGTTTTGTGCTTGATTAAATTATAAAAAATATTAAATTTGATGGCAAAATGAAGTTGATATTTCTCATCTCTATAAAAAGATCAAAAGAGATCAAATTTAATACCACATTGTCCTTGGGGAAACTTTCTTCTCCAAGATTTCTTAATTTTTATGTATTCCAAGAATAAGTAACATTTAAGTAACACTTCACTATTTCAGTGTCAGTGAATGAAGCTGTTAGTTGTGTTTTTACATTCAAGTCATTGTATTAGCAATAGGCTTTTGTACCCAATAATTGATTTCTATATGCTAGGAATGTCAAGAAACTATATTATACATTGAGAATTCAGGGAAAAGATTGAGATACTGAAAAAGATGTCTCTTGTTATTGGAGGATAAGTGCTAGATAAAGAATTTATTATTAATGTTATTAATGTTTTAATAACAATGTTTTAATAAAAATGATATCGATGATTTATTGTAAATTGAGTATTATTAATAGAAGTAAAAATACCTCAACCAAATCAATTTTAACAATACCAGGTTTTTTGTATTGCTAACATGGTGAGAAAAATATTTCAATTCGAATTCTATAAAAGCAGAGAAAAGCCCATAGATTTGGGGATAGTACTTTTTTCTGATTTAGCAATATCCTTAACTTTGCCAAAATACCAGAACATGGAAATTATGTGCTTACAATGTGAACTAAAATGTATCTGAAGGATGAGTCAGATGGATTTCTTAATTAATGTGTTTACAGTTTGACACAAAGAATAATAACTAAAATTGTACAACTCAGAAGAATCAAAAGATACTGCAGTAACACAAAATTGACTTTTAATGTTTTGTTTACCAGTTCATTTTATCTTACAGAAAATGAAAACAAATTTTTGTAATACAGATTGGTTTTTCTCCTCATATTTGTACTCAGTAAGTACTAAATGCCTTTAAATACCAATTTTTTCTTTAATCAAGTGGGTTAATGACTTTTCTAATTTTCATTTATTTTGCTATACACCATTGCTGCTCTGGCAGTAGTGAGCTATGAAACAGTTAACTATTCAACAAAACGGTCAGTTATCCATTCAGCATTCTTTATGTATTCTGTGATGAAAAATTTTCTTTTAGTCATCCCCTCCTTATTAGTCAGCTATTCCTTGAGACCGCCATATTCATTGGAACACTGAAATCAAGAAATTCAGTATGGCTGCCAGCAACCAAGTTGGAATTTCCTTTTGAGTCTACTTCTAATTGCCAAAATAATAAGCGACTATATCATTGCATAAAATAAAATTTTCAGGTACCGGCCCTCTTCCTATGAAAGAAAGTTTAAATTTACAAATACCATAATTGACTAAAAATTATTGTGGTATAATATGGCAGCAGTCATTAAAAGATGGCTTCCAGTGTTGATGTGAGTAACTTGTTTTTTCATTTTATAGTGTTTTGTTATAAGCATCGTGTACTTTTCTTCAAGGTTTCAAATGTGAGTGTCTCAATGAAATTTACAAGTATACTTTGTTCCTTGTATGGGCCATAAAAGTTAAAGATGAGCAAAATAAAGGAATATTTTCTAATCCAGTCTCCTATTACATCCCTCTAATTGTCTTAGAACTCAAGTGTGAGGAGCAATTTTTGAATTAGTCTGTGTCTTACTGGCTTTGTTAGGAATGTGTTTGATTTATATTTCTTTTTTATATACTTTTAGGTATTTTAAGGAACGAAGTAGGAAAATTCATATATTTTTTGGGAAAAAAGGCAAAAATGAGAATATTTTAAAAAACCTTATTCATGTAGGAATCCATATGGTATAGAGATTCTTGTCATTTTGAGAAAATAAGAAGATAAAAATTCTTCCCAGCAGTACTCACTTGATTAAGAATGTTTTTATAAGCATGGGGAAATAATGTGCAAACAGTATAGATTTTAATCAGCTAACAGTCACTCCAGAGATTTTTGGTCAGCACCAGTTCCTATTTTAGCTAAGTATTGAAACGTTAAGCAATTTTACTATGCTTAACATGGTAAAGGCAGAGTTCTGTGGCAATACATAAAACTACATATCTGCTTTAATAAAAATTTGTTCCCACTTTATTTCTAATAAAATTAATGTATGTAATAATCATCAAGTTTGAGCTTCCTTCAATGAACGAACCCCATATTTGATGTGCTATAGAGTTGCTATTTTGGAGATAGCCCCTTTTAAATAATATATTCATCTTATGCTAAACAAGACAGGTTTTTTAGTTGACAAGTTGGAGATTGATCTATGACAGTAGTTTTTGAATTAACCCTCATAATCTCTTTGGGTTTATATTTTTATACAATTTGCATAGCCAACCTAATACAAAAATGTGCATGCATACCTTGGTCAGCTTTTTAATGTTAAAGCATCTGAAGATTTTCAGATATGCTTTTGATAGAAGAAATTTCTACCTTTATTTACAACATCTATCAGATAAGATATAACTATAGTTATATTTGATGAACTTCCAATTGTTCTATACCTTCCACACACATAACTCTACATTTATGGAGTAAATTTATTAGAATTATTATGGAGTCTTAAATGCAACCACAATCAATTCAGGAAACAGATTTATTTACTCATGTTCATGGGAGAAAAATCTACATAAAAACATTCATGAAAGCACACCAGCTATGTCATACTTGAATTATTTTACTAAATCCCATTTATTAGAACTCATTGTGAAACAATGGGAAACATGAATTGTAATTTGAATACAAATATTGGTCCCTGTGGGGTCTCAACAGTCATAAAAAATATGAAAACAGAGCTTTATTTCATATTACAGCCTCTATGGTGGAAAGTTGTTTTTCTAAAGCTGGCCTTATCCTTTTATTTAAAACCCTGAAGATCTTAGTGTAAACTCATTGAAAACTGCTTCAGCATTTCATTTAAGCCTAAAAATGACCATTAAGGGAAGTGGAACGTGACCATATTTCTTTATGGAAGGGGGTTTAGAACTATTTGTTGACACTTCCCCCAAAACCGAGGCACCAGTTGAGCTTTCTGGTATCTATGCAAATTGGAATAATAAGGATTTTGAAAGTAGTGCTCTATTTCTTGGTCAGCACATATGTTGCTATTCATTTCTTTTATGATTAAAAAAATTTAAGTAATGTAAATAAGGAAGTATTAAATAGTTTAAAGTCATTTTATAGGACAATAACATTTCATAGGCTAACATAAAATCAAGCTGCTAAATTTTTCTGTTCAGCAGTTTATCTATATAACTGCCCTGAGTAGATGCTAAATGCTGCTTAGCAAATGGCCCATAGAATTTAAATAAAACTCAGTAAAGCTACTCAAAAGATAAGACAATTCTTCTCAGGCGTGTATAATTTTAATTAGAAGAAGGTAGGAATCTCTTTGATTAAATATTATTTGCTTCTTTAAGTATCATACTTCATACAAATGGGGTTGTTAAGGAGTTTTAATCTGTGCTTGTTAGTCTGCATTTAGGTTGATATGAACTTTCTTTCCTTTTTGGTCAAAAGGCAGGATTTTAAAAATAAAATATTCTTTTGGAGGTTTGAAGTATTAACTTTTAGAAAAAACATAGATTATTGTCCCGTGAAACAGTTTTGTGTAACCTCTCTGAATCCTGGTTTATGTAAAGAAGCCTGTATTCAAATCTGCTGCTCTACTCTGTCTATTGTACTGCATTTCAAAATTGTACAAAGGTGTAAAATTTGTGCTTGTAGAAGCTGCTGCTCTGAGTAGCTTTACTTCCCTTATTTTAATCCCCCGCATCCCCAGCTATTGCATGCCCCATTCATGAAAGGATTCTTGGCTGGGATGATGGAGCCTAAACAGTTTGGCCCTAAAGCATCCATATGGAGCGCTTCCTTAAAAATTATATTAATTTATAATATATATTGAATGATAGCTTTACAAAAACAAATTAATGAATTGGTCTTTATGAAAATGACTCTATACAGTAAGTAAAAAAAGGGTTATCACAGTTTTGGTAACTTGCATGAGTTCATATTGAAAAAAAAACAAACACAAAAACCTTTCACATGTTCTTAATGACTTTAAAGCTGAGATGCTCTAGGGGCATGCTCAGTTGTAAGCTCTGAAGCAATAGACGCCGTACAGCTTATGCTTCTTATCTGGGAAACCCACGAAGCGCACTGCAGCCTCAGTGGGACTGCAGCGCCTTCTTGGTCTGGAGATAGGGTAGCGGACGCTGCCGTCGGCCAACCAGCCCGCATCACAGCGGTCATACCCCAGAAGTTTCCAGGCGACGAAGATCTGGCCCACTTTGGCGATCTGAGCACCGTCATTGAGACACGCCTGCACGGCTTCATCATAGGTCAGCTTGGTGGGGTGAATCAGGTAGTAAAACCGGCCTGCAGAGAGAGAGAAGAGAGGGTCAGTGGGCCTGTCTGGGTGGTAGGGTCCTACCGGGATGGCTGAAGCAAAGTGCAAGTGGATCTCCGCTGAAAGAGGAAGACGGAGCAATGTGTGCAAAGTCTAGGGAACATAGGACCTTCTTTCATTAAACGGAGTGTTTCCGGTCACGCTCTGGTAAATTAGTTTTATTCCTGGCCCCTTAATATGGCTCAGACGTGCCCTTTTGTAGTTGAGGGTGGGGGCGGGGAAGCAAGCGAAATGACAAATGCAATTTCTGTTTGCTCATTAGTGACTCAAAGGGCCCTTCTGTGGCACCAGAGAAGACAGAATTCCATGTTAAAAGCAAGAGCAATTTAAATTCTAGCAGTAGCAAGGCCTGAGCCTCAGCACAAGTTTTTGGAGAGGCAAATTTGAATGTGAAAGGATCAAAAACATTACTGACATAAAAGTCCATTAAAAAAATCAAAAGACCGCAAGTTCCTTTCATTACAGGTATCAATAAAGACATTATTCTTATTCAAAGACTACAGTAAGAATTGCAAAAAGTACAGATAGTCACTTGCCAGAAATAATATGGACTTAGAATGTAATCTCAGCTTGTTTGCTCGGGAGCAAAGAGGATGAAATTTTTTCGCTGTCTTTCCTCTGTTGGAACTGTGATAGCTAACCTTTTCTCGAGTTTACAAGAAAGAACAAGTTCATCTCCACCACTTTTTGAGTACTATTAATCATTGAAATTCCTTTACATGAAATTCCTTTACATTCCATTAAATATGCATAAATTGTATAAAATAAAATAGTTGACTGAAGTGAAGCAGACTCATTGAACATTTTCTCAGATATTTTAGTTCCAAACAGAATATAATCATTCTGATCTTATTAGACATCGAAACAAGATATACCGTTATCCCCTCATTAAATACGGATGATTCTGAGGTTTTGTTGTTAAGACTAAAGTGATGCAGTTTATAGAAAGGATAGAAATCTCTGAAGTATTAACTATAGTATTAGGTGTAACATGTCTTCCAGAAAATGGCAGAGTATAGTGCACGTCAAAAGAAATTTTATTACAAGACAGACATACATGTTCATTTAATATTATCTGTGACTACTTTTGGGGTTACAACATGCATAGCTACATTGAGTAATTGTATCAGAGACCATATGGCCCACAAATCCAAACGATATTCATATCTGGCTCTCTATCAAGTTTATTAATAACCTTCTTACTTGCTAATTCGTTTCCTGCCCCCTCCCTCCCGGAAAAAATAAAGTCACCGTGGCACTAAAATAAAGTGATATTGCAAAGGTTTGCTTCATGGTTGTGTACATCAGGGATCCATATGTAAAATTTTTGCAAGGGTATACCTGACCATGCTGGGGGCTTACTCTTGGCTCTGGGCTCATGGAGCACTCTTGGTAGGACTTGTGGTGCTGGGGATCGAATTCAGGTTGGCCATATGCAAGGCAAACACTGTGCCCAGTATAGTATCTCTCTCCACAACCCCATGCATAGTTTAAATCTCTATTTTCTTTCTTTTTTAATAATTTTTGAACAAGAAGCCATATTTTACTTTGTACTGGGTCTGGCAAAATTATGCAGCTGATGGAGCAAGATCAGATTGGGAACTGTGTTGAATGTGATGAACCCATCATCAATATTGAGTCAATTCTGATCTCTTCCACTTTCACTTTCCATAGTATTTCCACTTATTTTTCTGCAAATGTCTCTTTATTCTTACTTAAATTTTTTAAACAGAGTGAAAACTAGCTTTCTCTTTGTCCTGTTCTTTACTGATCATTTATGAATAACTGGGCCTGTAACTTAGAAGAGCATATGACACAAAAGCATCCTTTCCTTCACCTGAGAGCTTGATAGCCCAGGGAGAGCATATAGTGGCAGCAGCACCTTTCACAATATTATTCACATCACAGAATAAATGATTTCATAAGAACAGTTGGATACACTAAACCCTGGACAGAGGAAATTGGCACTTTTGTTGGACATCAGTGAAGTTATTTTTAAAAAATTAATTACCTTTCACCTTTTCAAACAAGAACAGTTTCAAAGATTTTTTTAAAAAGGTTTTGAAATCAAAACTTTTAAATCGTCACTTTGTTAAGTAGGAACAATAAAAGTCAAGTGCAATAACAGCTAGGAAAAGTACTGGAATAGTTTATATCTTACCATTGAAGTTGGATGTAAAGCAGAAAACATCATATCTACTTTTATCCTTATCCCAAAACCCGTAGTTCCTCACGCCGGGCACCGTGTTCTGGCCTCCGCAGGGCTCTCTGGGTTTTGTGATGGGGTATTGCACAGAGCCATCACTGAGCCAGCCAGCATTGCACCAGTCCAGCCCGCCCCTCCAGGCATCATACAGCTGGTCAAAGGAAGCAATCACTGAATCCTGGTCCAAACAGGCCTGTTGGGCCTCGTGAAAATTGAGATTATAGCGCCCCAGTCGTGGAAAATAAGGGAAAACCACACCTGTCCAAGGATAAGACAAGAGAAATATATCAGGGACACAAAAAAACAACATCACCAGTCTGGTGAAAAACACAGTAGATGCTCCAATCTAATGAAGCTGCAACGTTTGGTCAGTGTGCAATGGTTTCTCAGGCCCTTTCCGTTTCAAACAGCCTCTCAGATCTGAGCATTTCCCACTCAGCTATTAAGTTGCTGATTAATTCAGCAATTTACCTCTTTGTTATCTGTTCAATTGCAGACTTAACATTATCTTTTCCAAAATGATTTATCTCACATTTCAACTTCCGAATAGCCCTCCCTGAGAATTAACCTTCTGCTACGGGCTACTAATTTTAAAATGGATTACTGCTGGTCTGTTCACCAGGGAAAAGGCCAATAGAACTACTGTTAAGAGTAGGAGGGAGGTGTAGAAAAACATGGTGCTGAGAAAAGGAATTTCTGAAAATCCACATAGTTTTTTCTTAGTAATTATACTGATATAATAAATCGTCACCTTTCTTCTTTTAAAGACATATGTTAACAAATGATTGAAATGTAGAAGCATACCTCTTTTTTTTTTTAATTTGTGCTTCTAAAAACTTCCTATCCTTTTTTAAATAAAAGGATAGGAAGTCACTTAGGGGCTTCCTATTTAGAGAAACTCTAAGAAGTTTATTATTTAAGCCTATTTAATTAACCAGTCTTATTTTATAGTGAAAAATAATTCTTTGTAGTCAGGAACATGCCCATAGAAGATGCATGGAAGTTCTTTTATCTATTCAACTTTTCGTGTCAGCCTTAATATTACTTGTTTCCTATATTTAAAATATGGGATTTTATTTAAAAATACAGCAATTACTATCTTTCAGCTTCCCCATTCATTTATTGTCAATTGAAGTTAAGATTTCAGAAAATATTTTTATTGCAAATAGAACTACAAAACTTGTATTGTGTGTGTGTGTGTGTGTGTGTGTGTGTGTGTGTGTGTGTGTGGTTTGAACCTGGGATCTCACATATACAAAGGCATAACTTTTATCACTAGACCATATCCTGGGACCCAGAGTTTTTCTGGTATATAAGATACATACACAATAGACATTGGTTGATTAAATTAATGTTGAAGAATTAAGTTGAATATTTCAGAAGACACAAACCCATAGCAAATGTAAATGTTGCATAGGACTTTGTCTGGAAAGATGCAATAATTTTTGAAAAGCATTCTTTTTAGTCACATAATCATGGGAAGTGAGTATTGTATAACTTCCTGTAAAATTTAAGTAATAAGGTAGCATTAAAAAGGCAAAGCTCTATCATTAACAAAGACTTAACAAAGAACTCTACAAAGAATTGCATATCACAGCTTTCTTCCGTTTAACTGTTAAAGCACCATTTAAAATGATTATTGAAGGGTTTGTCTTGCTTTTGTTACTGCTTGCCTTGATTTTGGATTTGGTCCACACAGCAGTGCTCAGGGGTTACCACTAATGGTGCTTAGGGGACTGTTTGGTCATGGGGATTAAACCTGGCCCTTCTGTATGCAAAGCCTGCCCTCAGCACATGGAGCTATCTCTCTGGAGGTTTTATTTATTTTTGGTTTTGGGGCCACACCTGGTGATGCTCAGGGTTACCCCTGGGTCTGCACTCAGGGATCACTCCCAGCAGTGTTAGAGGGATCAAATGAGGTACCAAGATGGAACTTGGGTTGGTTGGGTGTAAGTTGTGCTATTTCTCCAGCACTGCCTTGGGGTTCAAATTATAATTATAAAAATGTCTTAGCACATGAAATGGAAAAACTGTCCCACTGACACAGTAATTTGAGGGAATGTATCACATGTGTCTTTTACAAGGCTACAGACCCTATTCAAGAGAAATGTACAATTGGTCAATTCACAAAGAGTGTAACAGGGCACAGGAAATGTTTTCTTTTAAGTTGTCCTGGAAGACTACAAGAAATTTCAATAACCTTAAGATCAAATCTCATCCACTGAACGTCCCTGCAGGACATTTTTGTCCCTTTGGGGCAGTCCAACTGGCACCATTCTCTCATTCTGCCTTCTTAGGTTCTTGGCTGAGGAATCAATAAACTGAATGAAAGCCAAAGGGAGGAGGGGAAGGGGAAAAGACTTTCTTGATCGCCTCTACCCTTTGCTCTTCTAAGGGAGAAACCTAGCAATGGCGGTCTCTAAGCAGATCTATGCCCAGGTTTCTGCTGAGGACCCACAAGCCCTGGGAAGCAGCTGAACCAGAAAGCCAGGGCCCACGTGCCTTTTATCTTCTTTCCTCATAAACCCAGAAATGCCAGATGAAAAAGGAAATAATTTAATATATCCTATAGAGGTTTTCTTGTCTGCCAGAGAGAGAGAAAAAATCTCAAAGTATCTTGATCAGATGAGAGAAAGAAACCATAAGGAATGTGCCATTTCCCAAATGTGACAAGATGATATCAGAGGAAAATGTATGATACTCTAATTTATAATAATTTTTAAGATCCAGAAAGCCTTTCAGATTTAAATTCACTGTAATATATTTGGTGGACTCTCATGAATATTGGAAACATTTTCAAATGTTTTTTGTTAGCCAGTGAATTTTGCTGAAAGTGGATTGATTCTGTTCCAAGTTCAGTGTAATAGATTTTTATTTAAATTCCTTTCAAATTTAACATATTTTCTTCATGCAAATCATTTCTTAAAGTCAAAGTGAAACTAATTTTTATGTATCTCATTTGTAAGAGTAAACCATCTTTTTTATTATTATTATTACATTATCTCAAAAGATTTACTGAGCAAATTTTCTTCTTATTGGGGGCCATGCCCAGTTATGCTTAGGGCTTAATCCTGGCTCTGTGCTGTGGGTGCAATCCTGACAGTGTTCAGAGGACCATATGCAGTACGTGGGATTGAACCCAGATTAACCACGTGCAAGGTGAGCATTTTATGCTGTACTATCTCTCTGGCCTTACTTAACAAATTTTAATGAATATCTCATGTTGTTGGAAAGAATAAATTTCAAGCAAATCAAAGTTAATTTTTATATCTTGATCAACCAAAATTTGAAAAGTTTTACTGTAGTGTATACATTTGGTGAACACATTTCAATTATAAGATATTTCTTACAAATAAAGCAATAATGTTTCTGAAATAACATGTTTGTTAATTTTTTTTAATTATTTCACTTACAGTTAGTTAACATTTTAATATCTAAGGCTAACATTGCATAAACTTCTCGGTTCTATGCCCAAATATGCAATACCTAAGAGCTAAATTATACAGCAAATGACAATTGCTTCCAACAAGCATTGCAAAAATAAGAAAAGTAAGACTTTAATGGATGATAAAATATGATCACTTTGTCAAATATCATTATTTTGCCAAATACATAATTGTAAATTTTCTACTTTTTCATTGAGGGGTGGTGTGCATCATTACATCACTACAAGGATAATACATCATACTAGCACGGTCCACGGTCCTCCTGTTGTTCATTGATTTGCTCGAGCGGGCCTAGTAACATCTCCATCATGAGACTTGTTACTGTGTTTGGCATATTGAATACGTCACGGGGAGCTTGCCAGGCTCTGCCACGCGGACAAGATACTCTCGGTAGCTTGCCGGGACCTCCGACAGGGGCGGAGGAATCGAACTCAGGTCGGTCATGTTGGCCGCTTGTAAGGCAGATGCCCTACTGCTGTGCTATAAATATGTGAGTAGTTTAGTTAGTAAAAATGTTTTGAAAACAGTTTTTAAGATTTCACTCCATCACTTGACTTCCCGTTAATCACTGATTTGCTGGAGTGGGCGCCAGTAACATCTCCATTTGTCCCTGCCACGTGCTAGTGTAGCCCAATGGTGTCTGAGGGTTCTAGGAACACGAAGAGCCTCAAATCGATCGTTCAGGGTCTTGACTAAGAAGTCTGAGATTTATTTTAAGATTTATTTACTTTTTTATTCTATTTTATTTTATTTTTATTCTATTTTATTTTCTTTTCAGAGTTTTAAGATTTATAATCAATTTGGGGGCTGAAGTGATAGCACAGCGGGTAGAGCGTTTGCCTTACACGTGGCAAACCCGGGTTCAATTCCCAGCATCCCATATGGTCCCCTGAGCACCTCCGGGAGTAATTCCTGAGCGCTGAGCCAGGAGGAACCCCTGTGCATTGCTGGGTGTGACCCAAAAAGAAAAAAAAAGATTTATAATCATATTTTCCAATTTACCCTAGTTGTTGGCAAATATTTATTTGCTAAGCATGTTACAGATTTTTGCAGTGTGATACGGATAAAGGCTTAAAAATCTTTATTTCATTTAAAATAGGAGTGTTTTGTCATATTGAAGCATATATGAATAAAATACTAACCCATGAGTTTTTCTTTAAAAATTTTTAGCATAAAGAGGACTAAATAAACCAAGGTTAAAAAAAGATTGGCTGTGATATGATAGGTAGTACAGGGGTTATGGCACTTGCCTTGTACTGTATTTAATTGTGCACTATTGCCAAGCTCAGCCTGAAGCCCTTCAGCAAGTCAGATATTATTTATGATGTCTATTTATATTTTGCCCCTTAAGGGGTTGCTTCTATATACTATCATTATCATACACACTTTCCTGCTTTATAACACTCTTCCCTTTTATATCACTTACTTTCCATAGTTCAAATCAAGCAGCTCTTTTTTTGTTTTGTTTTGGGGCAGTACTCAGGGGTTACTCCTGGTGGTACTTGGAGGACATATGAGATACCAGGATTAGAACCTAGGTTGACCATAATACAAGCAAATGCTCTACTGCTTTTGCTTTAAAGCTTTTTCTTAAAGCTGCTTTTTCTTAAAATAAAAGAAAATAAAAGACACTTCTTCCAGTGTCCCTCTATTATATGAATAGTCTGTATTAACTCTGAAAATTTAAAGCCATTATTTCAAATAGTTACTCACTTGCAAACTAGTTACTTAGCGCTAACTTTGTTGGTGGTCCTTGACTGTCATCAAATAGATCACCTTCAGGAGGTGGAGATAGGCAAGGTCATAAATATTTAGAAGACAAAACAGATTGGGCCTGCAATGGAAATCTGTATGCTCTGAGAGTATCATAACTGGAGGTTGGAGGGAAGAACACAAGCTAGGGCTTTTTGTTATATCTTTTAATCTTTCTTTTTTTTTTCGCTCTTTGGATCATACCCAGTGATGCTCAGGGTTTACGCCTACCTCTGCACTCAGTTTCTGGAGGTGCTCAGGGACCATACGGGATGCTGGGAATTGAAATATGGGATGCTGGAGATAAAACCAGGATTGGCTACCTGGAAGGCAAATGCCCGACCCACTGTACCATCACTCCGCTCCCCACTTGATTGTATTTTATTTGATTGCTCAGAAATAGATTTACGTATAAAATGAAAAACACTAAAGTGACAATTACTTCAAGGCAGAATCTCTAGTTCCTAACTACTTCTATTCATTCTACTGTACACAAGAAATTGAAAAGCTATTATGGGCATACTAATTCATGTAATATATCTGAATCCCTGTAAATCATTTCCCAAGAAACTTTTGGTCATTTGAAACTCCTTTTAGGGACTGAGGAGATAGTTCATTAGGATTTTGTTTGTCTGTTTGTTTGTTTTGGGCTCACTTTTGGCTCTGTGCTCAGGGATCACTCCTGGTAAGCTCAGGGGACAATATGGAGTGCTGGGAATTTAATCTGGATCTGTTATATGCAAAGAAAGTGCTTAATCACTGTGCTCCATATCACTCTGACCTCTTAATATCTGGCATTCTTGAGGCCTCAGGTTCAATCCCTGGCACTGCATGCTTAGACCCTTTCTACCCTAGCACCTCAAGTTACAGCTCTGGTGACCACCAAGTCCACAAAACTTTACCTTCACTTAATATGGAATATAGTAAATATGGCATGTAAATGTCTTAGATCTAGGAAACAGTACATTATAAAATTTTTGAATAAGAAACTTAGGAAAAAATATAGAAATAATTAAAGTTCACAGACATTAGAGTCCAACCATAGTTCATAAAATAGCAAGTGAAGGCATAGCAAAGATAAGTAATCTGTTTCTTTTAGAAACTTATTCAGCAGATGTGAAACTAACCTAAACTTTGAGTACTACTAGCTCAAAGCTCTGTACCTTGTCTCATGTGCCTTTAATAAATAAATTCTCTCTCAGCTAGTATTTGATGATAAACTGTCTTAGCCTTCCACTGCTTTCCTTTTGAATAAAGTCAATATGCATGGACATTAGCTTGAGTCAATAGTATCTGAGAGATTAAAGCTACTTAGAATAAGAAGATATGACCTATAACTAAGAGTGAAGTTAGTCAAAGAAATGCACTTTGTGGCACTGTCAACTTCATTAAAGACATAAATCTCCATTGATGTGATGGGAAGTACTTATGATATTCATGAATCTACGGTGTGATAAGAAATGAGGAGATGAATTTCCCAGTTTGAAAGAATGGAAGGATACAGGATGACTGATACAGTTTTTAATTTTTCTAATTAAAAAGTAGAATAAGGAGGATCTTGGGACCAGATCTGGTAGTGGTTTGGGTTTAATCATGGCTCTGTGCTAAAGTATTACTATTTGATCTCAGTGACTACATTGAGTGCTGTGGATATAACCTGGGTCAGAAGCATGCAAAGCAAGTGTACCTGATGTACTATCTCTGATTTAGTAAGGTTGTTTCTTATTCTTTCCTTGTATACATTTTAGGTTATTATATATTATACATAGTATATAACACATAGTATATATTTCTAAATATATTTTATATTTAAGAAATAAAATATTCAACCCACTCCCCCCCAAATGTTTTGACCATCTGATATTCAATGCTAGTGAAACTTTGGGCCATTGGAAATTACTTCTTGCCAATAATATTTAAAAAAAATATAGAGATTACTTTTTTGTTAAATTAAGCTTTCACAATTATCTTACAGAATTCAATTGTATGTATTTTAGTTAGCAGATGTCCTTCACAACTTGTCATTATTTTGAAACAGATAATTTTAGAAGCATAATAAAAGTATCTAATCTGAATTTCTGAATAAGCATGCAGCGAGATTTAAATTTTGAATAGCATAAGGCAGATCTTGAATATTGTTCATTCAGTCCCACTGCATGTCTCTCCTACTTGCATATGCTTTTAGTTTGTGTATAATGATTGTGTTTATGAAATCTGGAATCAAAGACAAACTTTATAAGACCAAGCCAAAATAGATTTTTTCACAAAATAGGATTTCTTACACCACCACCATGGTAACTGTGAGACGTTATTTATGATGGGTAAAAAAAAGAACACAGCAACAATTAATTATTATTTCTAAGGTTAATATGATTTACAGTTACCTACCTTGTAAATCTAATGCTACCACAGCCGTATCATCTTCTAATCCTTCAATCACCTCACACTTATATCGCCCATAATCCTCTAATGAGAGGTCTGTGATCACCAGAGAAGCATCATTATCACTGCCTCGCTTTAGAAACACTCTACCCTGGTAAGAGCCATAGGTTTTCTTGTGGTAGCCCATGGAAACAAAAACATCCACTTCTTTGAGGTAATCTGAAGTCAGCTTGGTCCACTTAATTCGGATTTTGTGGGTTCCTGAGCCAAATGCTGTAGGATCTCGATAAAATTTACATGGCAGTGTAACATTGCCACCTCTATGTGAGAACACCTTGGCTTGTTCTGCTTCCACCAGTAGACGAGGACCATTTTCTGCTGTAATGAAAAGAGAAAAGAGTCATTCATTTGCTTTCAGATATTTAAATACAATTCAGTGTGTGTCCTGTACAAGGTATACAACAAAGAGTATTGTGGAGTAATATGCTTCTTTGAATTGCTGAACAGTAATCTCCTTGAACGGCACAGAAAATTAGCTCTGACACCAACATAGAGGGCATGTATAGAGTAGACATGGGTTTGAAGCCACTGATAAAAGGAAATATGTACATTATAATCACTAGGACAATATTGGATAAGAGATTTCATAGTTTCCTGATGTTTGATGATTTCATAATAAAATATATTTATTTTTCTTTCATATGGAATAAAAATGTAGAAAAGTCAAAGAGTTCCATGATCATTGCATCAAAATAAACCCCTAAATTTCAAGATTGGTATTTACATATTGCCCAGTGACCTTTATTTTTAACCTTTTTTAAAAATATAATTAAAAAAACTTTTTAAAACTATTAAACCTTTTTGAAAAAGGGAATGACCTGCCACAGAGGCAGGGTGGGATGGGGCGAATGGGGGGTGGGAGGGATGCTGGGACCTGTGGTGGTGGAGGATGGGCGCTGGTGGAGGGATGGGTACTTGATCATTGTATAACTGAAACCCAAGCACAAAAATTTGTAAGTCTATAACTGTACCTCATGGTGTTTCACTAATAAAAAATAAATTTAAAAAAGATTGAAAATAAAAATTTTTATCATGACAAAAAAAAAAGAAAAGTATAAAGCAGCATTGGCTTTCATTGAACTATTCTGGCCATAATTTGTCATCTATGACTTCAAAGATTCACATATAATATGACATTCTGGAGCATTTCAAGCAACACATATGCATTTTATTTTCACACAAAGATAGGTGCCAGAAAGACTTAAAAATAAACACTTGGAAAACTAATTTTGAGATACAGCCATCAAAATTTAAGACATGTAACAGTTGTATTTAAAAACTTAACATGTTAAATTTAAGTTACAGCTAAATGTATTTCCAGTTATAGTTAAATGTATTTTCTAATTAGCCATATAATTTGTTTGTGTCTTTAATCTATTTAATTTCCTTACACTTCCTTTTTCTTTGCTTTCTATTATATATATTGTAGTACATTTTACTTATTCCTTCAACCTTTTCTTTCCTTGTCCTTTTCCTCATTTCCTCTTCTCTCCAAGGACTTTGTTGCCTGAGAGAGAATCACAATATTCCACCTGCCTTGTCAGCAGGAATGAGGCAGGTCCCTAGAGATCCAGCTGTTATTTTCAGATCTTGACTTTCTCTGGGGTTTCCCCTGGTTAGTTATTTGTGCTTTTGACCTTGCCAAGGTCTCCTGAAGAAGTGCAGGATTCAAAAACTGAGAAAGCAATCTAAGAACTCCCAGGCACACACAGCTCAGCCCCACACAGTTTTCTACGACAGTGGAAGCTGACTTTTGTGGAGCTCTATCTTCCTACCATGGGTCAAGAGTTTCTGAGTGATCCTTGGCCATAAAATATTTAAGTTATACAAGTAACTAAGAAATGTCAGTGATTTCCAGTTAGATCTAAAAACTTAAGCATTGAATAGCGTATATAAGATTCATCTTTTAAAAGGAAATCTCCAAAAGTAGACATAGTGGTTCTATTTATAGCAACCCAAATTAAAATCTAGATATTCATATAGAAGACAACTCTAGATCTCAAAAACCAGAAAGCTTAATAACACCATTAATGCTTCCACTTTGAGTAGAGAATGAAATGACAGAATAAACACTATTAAAACGAACCACAAGTGCAGCTGATTAAGCATTTACTTTAGATTCTAGTCTTATTTTGGGCCCTGTACTATTGATTAGTTAACATGTAAGTCCATTTTTCTTCTCTACATAAACATTTCCTCCCAATGATCACCTGAGTTCTACTAAATATCTCTAGTATCTTTTTTTCTGTAAGAAGAAAAAGATGTTATTGCCTGGGTGTGCTTAGGAAGACCCAAGGGACCCTAGGGAACATCTCTTTACCGGGTAGGTTGGGAGGACCTCTGGGAACTGAGCATCCCATTTGGTGGCCTGAGTTTAGATGTAACATAGAACTACAGGAGATTATAGTTTTGTGATTAAAGTTCTTTACTTTAAAGTAAACACTAATGTCAAAGGATAAGACGAAGGTTAGAACAGTAGGAACAGCAGCTTTGACATGATATACACTTTGACTTTACTCCTACAATTTGACCTCACTCCTATCTGTATATCTGTATAATCTTATATTAATTGTGAAATCCCTGAGTTCCAAGTATTCTTCGTGTGAATTAGGGAGAGTAATTTGCTCTGTATGTTTCCTCTGTATATGACACAGATATAACAGACACACATATATTCAAAATATGTAATTGGCACATAGAGCGTTTAGAATGATTAAAGTCAGCACGCACTGACAACTATTCTGTTGCCTAGATTGTTTCATGCTACATAGATTCCTCAAATATGATACAGCCTCACATTGAAAAAATTTGAACATATGTAAACCTTCTACCATTTCCGTTTCACTTGTTAGCTTTGAGCCATGTAGCACTGTAGCACTGTCCTGTTGTTCATCGATTTGCTAGAGCGGGGACCAGTAATGTCTCCATTATGAGACTTATTGCTACTGTTTTTTTCAATTATTATTTTTACTCTCTTTTATTTTTATTTATTTAATTACCTTTTTATTAGTGAAAGAGCATGAGATATAGTTGTACATTTACAAATTTTTTGTGGTTGGGTTTCAGTTACACAATGATCAAGACCTGTCCCTCCACCAGTGCCCATTCTCCACCAATGATCCTAGCATCCCTCCCAAAACTCCCCATTCCCCCAATCCCACCCTGCCTCTGTGACATGGCATTTACTTTTGTTCTCTCTCTCCTTTTGGGTGTTGTGGTTTGAAAAAGGAGGTATTGAGTGGCAATCATGTTCTGTCTATAGTCTACTTTCAGCATGTATTTCCCATCCTGGGTGGATCCTACCAACACCCTTTACTTGGTGTTCCCTTCTCTATCTGAGCTGCCTTTTCCCCCAGCATGTGTGGCTGACCTCCAAGCCATGGAGCGAAACTCCTGGTATTATCTTGACTATTCTTGAGAGTTAGTCTCCTATTTTGTTACTTTATTTTCCACAGATGAATGCAATCTTTCTATGTCTGTCCCTGTCTTTCTGACTCATTTCACTTAGCATGGTACTTTCCATTTAGAACCACTTGTATGTAAATTTCATGACTTCATCTTTTCTAACAGCTGCATAGTATTCCACTGTGTAGATGTACCAAAGTTTCTTTAACCAGTACGTTCATTGCTGTATTGTTATTGTTTTTGGCTTATAGAATACACTGAAAGGAGCTTGCCAGGCTCTGTCATGGGGGCAGGATACTCTTGGTAGCTTGCCAGGCTCTCCGAGAGGGATGGAGGAATTGAACCCAGGTCAGCTGCGTGCAAGGCAAATGCCTTACTGGCTGTGTAATTGCTCTAGCTCCCTTTGAGCCATATGGAGTGAAAAATATCTAATGACTTTTTAAAATAACATTATTTTTCTTTTGGGGGTCACACCCAGCAATGCTAAAGGTAATGCACTCAGAAATTACTCCTGGTGGTTCTCGGGGGATCATATGAGATGCCGGTATCACACCCCGGTTGACCGCCTGCAAGGCAGACACCCTACCCACTGTACGATTACTCTACACCCCCCCCCCCCGCCAAATATCTAAAATACCTCCTATGTTATATAGGAGACTTTGAAACGATTTAGTAGTTTAGTGTGATCATAAAGTAGTCCAGAATAAACTAAAGGTCTGAGTGGATTATAACTTAAAGAGTTAAAGCAAAGATAAAAACTCATGTAATGCTATAAAGGGACTGAAACTTCCAAATTTTTCTGCGGTAAGTTGTAGTATTTTTAGGAAACCAACTTCTGAATTTTTAAGGTATTTTAATTTATACTCTAGCATTGTGAATAAATGCATCTTGGAGTATAATATCAAGACATGAGTAGAAGCCAAAATCTGGGTGGAAGTGATAGCACAGTGGGTAGAGCACTTGTCTTACAAGTTGCAGACCTGGCTCGATCCCCCGTGCCCTTATGGTTCCCTTAGCACTGCCAGGAGTAATGAGTGAATACAGAACAAGGAATAACCCCTGAATATCACCAGGTGTGGCCTCCAAACCAACCTCCCCTAAATAAAACCCTCCAAAGAGCCAAAAATCCACTGGCATCCTTCAAGAATCTTTTTTAAAATTAAAACTGCTAGAATGATAAAATTAGACCATTCTGTGCTGAGGTAGTAAATGCCAGAAGCCCATGCCTGAAATTCAAAGAACCCTAAGAAAAATATGCAACACGTGGAGTTACAGAAGATTTTTAATACTCACCAACCCAAATCACTATCAGAACCTTAGGCCATGTCTTCGTCAGTTTGCTTGTTTTTTAGAAAATTGACACTGCAAGATTATACAGCAATGAACATTGCTGGCAAGAGTAGCTATTACAGAATGTGTAGGAGAATGAGTACAGGTCTGAGAAAGAGAAGTCATGGATTCTACTTCAGGTTTTCCCATGGTCCACCTGATAAGAATACACAACTAAAGGGTCAGCTCAGATGGTCACTACGGAAATCAGCTCTTTATGCTAGAGAGGGAGAGGGAAAGGGTAAAAGTATCAAAGAGAAACAAGAATTTTAGTGATACCGTCCTGCCAAAAGTGTTAAATCTGATCACTGGATTAAGAAACTTGCGTCAGTTTTAAATGAAAGCTTAAATCAAAAGGAAAGATAAAAATGAACCTGGATAATCAAATGAGTATTATTGGCTTTCCTCTTTTGTTTTTAAAATGAAAGACCAAATCAATGGATCAATTTTCCAAGTTTATTTTGGAGGGATTGAACATTTTTTAAGTTCAACTCCTAAACTACAGTCTCCTATTAGAGTTTCTTGATGAGAGTCAGTGATGGTGACTGCAAAGACTTGATGCCCTTCAAGGACCATATTTGTCC